TCCACTGAAGTCCTGAATCCCTCAAAGTCATCCAGAAGGGTTGGAATCAACTTCTTCTAAACTCCTGTTAATGTTGATATTCTAACCTCTTCCACAAATGAATCACACAGATACATCAGAAAATCACTATATATGGCAATTATAGTTTTATGAAATGTATTTCTTCAACAATGAGATTTAAAAGCTGAAATTACTCCTTGATCCATAGGCTGCATAATGGATGCTGTGTTAGCAGGCATGACAACATGTATAACTCCTTACTCATCTCCATCAGAGCTCTTGGATGACCAGGTGCATTGTCAATGAGCAGTAACATTTTGAAAGGAATCTTTTTTCCTAACCAGTAGGTCTCAACAGTGAGCTTAAAATATTCAGTAAACCATCATATAAACAGATGTGCTGTCATCTAGGCTTTGTTTTTCTATTTATAGAACACAGGCAGAGTAGATTTAGTATAATTCTTAAGGGCCGACAACTTTCAAAACAGTAAATGACCAATTGTCTTCAACTTAAAGGAACCAGATGCATTAGACCCTAACAAGAGAATCAGCCTGTTCTTTTAAGTTTTGAAGCCAGGCACTGCTTTCTTCCTCTAGCTATGAAAGTCCTAGAAAGCATCTTCTTTCACTAGAAGGCTGCTTCATCTACGCTTATCAGCGATCTTAGCTCAGTCTCTTTGGGATAACTTGTTGCAGCTTCTACATTAGCACTTACTCTTTCCCTTGTACTTTGTTATGGAGATGACTTTTGCCCTTAAACCTTATAAACCAATCTCTTCCAACTTTTCTTCTGCAACTTCCTCACCTCTCTAATCCTTCATAACATTGAAGAGAGTCAGGGTTTTGCTCTGGATGAGGTTATAGCTTAAAAGAATGTTGTTACTGGTTTGATCTTCTATCCACATAACTAAAACTTTTCTCCATATCAACAATAAAGCTGTTTTGCTTTCTTACCATCTGTGTGTTTATGGAGTAGGATTTTTAATTTCCTTCAATAACTTTTTCTTTGCATTCAGAGTGGCCAACTGTTTGGTGCAAAGGCCTAGCTTTTGGTCTATCTTGTTTTTTTATATACCTTCTTCACTAAGCTTAATTATATTTAGATTTTGATTTAAAAAGATACGTCACTCTTCTTTCACTCGCACACTTAGAAGCCATTGTGGGGTTATTAATTGGCCTAATTTAATATTGTTGTGTCTCAAGGAATAGGGAGGCCAGAGTAGAGAGAGAGAGGGGAAGAGCCAGCTGGTGGAATAATCAGCACACACACGCGCGCGCACATACACACACACACACACCAGTTATTAAGTTCTACGTCTTATTTGGGCACAGTTCATGGTGCCTCAAAACAATGACAACAGTAAAACTAAAGATAACTGATCACAGATCACCATATCAGATATAATAAAGTTTGAACTATTGAGAGAATTACCAAAATGTTACACAGAGACACAAAGAGGGCAATGCTGTTGGGAAAATGGTGCTAATAGACTTGTCCCAAGCAGAGTTGCCACAAACCTTTAATTTATATTAAAAAAAAGCAGTATCTGCAAGGCACAATAAAGCTATGTGCATTAGAATGAGGTGTGTCCACATAGGACAGAATAAATGTATTTTAATAAAATTGAGTTTTATTTTCAAATAAAGTCACAAGCAAACCTTTCTTCACTAATTGCTCTGAAAATTTGTCCCTGTTTAAAGTAGATTTACTTTGAGGAGTACTAATCACAATGGGATAATAAGGACTTCCTATACTAATGAAGCAGAACTTTACTGGTGGAAACCGCCTGGTGCCTTGATTGTGTCTATTTACATATTAAATTTTTACTATTTTATTTTTAAAATATCCTCATTTATTTATAAGCTCTCCTGGGCAGGGCAATAATTTATTATTTACTCTTGGCTGTTTCCTATAGGATTACTTCCAAAGGGTGGCATTATCAAAAGTAAAATGAGTACCTCCAAAGATGATACTTGTGGAGAAGACAGATTTTGGAGTCAATTTGGAGGCAGATCTGTATCCCAATCTGCTTTTACCACTTACTAGACACATGGTAACTAGCAAATTACATGTACTTTCTCAACTTCAGTATCATCATCTATAAAAATGGAGCACTAATAACTCCCTCACAGGACTGTGGAGATCAGAGGCAAGTATGTGTAAAATGCCAGGTACAAAGAAGGTAATCAATAGGTGGTAGTTACAAGAGTGTAGTTTATTTTGGTTTGTTCAACTGCCAAAATTCTCTTGTGATCTCAATTTGTTGATTACTTTGTACATTTGGATACCTTGCATGTGTTTTGCAATGTGAACCTTGGGTCACTAGGCCATAAAAAGTAGCTAAATATAACTATATTGAAAATGTGCCTTTCAGAATGTCTTGCTACATAAATCTCTTAGAATGAATCTAAAATATTCTACAAAGCTTGGAGAAAAGATCATAATGAGGTTTGCAGGATTTGCTTTGTAAAAGTTTGGTTGAGTCATTTTGTAAGTGAGATGGCTGATAGTTACACAGGAAAAGTCTTAGTGGAAGCCCCCTCCTCTGGTCCCACCCAAGCAATTTTTATAAACATATATTGACTTAAAGCTGAGGACCCCATTTTTCACCGTACAAAAAGCTTAGTGCAGAACAGTGTTGGGAGTCAGATGCTCTTGGATTTGAACCCCTGCTTGACCACTTCCAGGTTGTGAGACCTTGACCAACCTACTTAGTCAAGGTATTGACTAAGCTTGGAAATAGTAAGTTGGTAAGGCTAGTATCTTCATCCATAAAGTTGAGGATTATAAAAGTACATACCTTGGGGCTGTCCTTAAGATTAAATGAGACATTGCATATAAAATGTTTATATACATACAGCACAAAGTGCTTAATAAATGGTAACTATTATTTGTAAAATCTTCAAACTCATATTAACAGATATGTCCTATTTTATTCAAAAAATGGTTACAATATAACACACACAAAATAAATTCACTTGGGTCTCAAGTACCAAATTCTTTGGTTGGTCTTGCCTTACCTTTTGCCTCTAGTTTTCTATACCCAAGTTCCTTTCCTTCTCCTATTATTCATGAACATGTTTTTTTTGCCCTAGTGTTTCTCAATGGCTCCTGCCCATCCCAATTGAAATAGCGTGGGGTTCAGGGGAGAGCATGGAGAAGGGGAGACCGTGTAACAATCTGGCAAAAGGTTTCTACTTTTGCTCCATTTTCAAGATTCTATTAATAGTATATTCTCCTAAGGGTCCTATTAGTTTACGTAGCTGAAGTCGGGAGACAATGATAGCTGATATTTAGTATTCATCTAATAGTGTCAGATACCATGCTGGGTGAGTTACCAAAGATATTTTGACTCTTCGTAACAATCAGACAAGGCGGATACCACTATTTCTGTTTCTGAGATGGGTAGGTAGAAGTTCTGATCCAGTAATTCGCTCAAAGTCATGCAGCTAGTTAGCTGGCAGCATCCTTGCACATCTAACTGCAGATGCATCTGCATCTACATTAGAGTAAATGTACCAATTATACTCATACAATGAATGCTATGAATCTGGCCAACAGAATTCCAGACACTAACAAGTAAATAAATCAGGCTTTCCTCAATCCCAGTAATTCCTGTTTTAATATTCCCTGGCAAATACTGAATTTCAATCTGTGCTTGTTTCATAGAGCAGAATCTTTCAAATATTGTGATATCGAGTCCCACATAGTCGAAGGGAGGGAAAAGCAAGGAGGGTGATTAAGGCGAAGTGTTTCTTCCATTACTGGTGGAACGAAGTTTCTCATCTCTTAAGCACTGAATTCTGCAATCATTCCAAAAGTGGAAGCTCAGCTTACAGTGCATTTTGGAGAACCTTAAACCACACTAACCATTTAAGGTCAAGCAAACAATTGGTCAACCCTAACGTGTGTTGTTCAGGGTTTTCATCTCAGATATAACAGATCTCTATATGTCTACATTCCAGCTCCAGAAAACAATCGAGTTCCTCCTCTCACCAACGCAGCTCTGCAGAGACACCTCGCTGGAGACCCCATGGTGAGCTTCACGTAAAGGCCCCCTCGCAAGCTGCCGGCTACAGCCTGCGCCCCACGTCTACCTGGGCTCCTTCTAGCCTCTTTAACGCACACTGGAGCGACAGACCCCTTGCAGTCAACTCTAGCAGCCGGACTCCGGCCAGGTCTCCAGCTCGGGGTCAGGAGGAGGCGCGGGAGGGCGGCGGCGGCGGCGCCCGCGGGGCGGGGCGGGGCGGGTACTACGCGCAGGCGGGGGGCGGGCGCAGGCTGCGGTCTCGCGCTGCTCCCCTTTGTTCTCTCCCATTGTGTGACACTTCCTCCTCAGGCGCTTCTTCTCTGCACCTTGGCAGCCTGTGGGGAGTTCGGGAAGGGGCCCTGGGTGCCTTTTCTGCTTGCTTTTGAGTACGTGAGGACCTCCCCGGCGCCGCCTCCTGCGGGTCCCTGCCCCCTGCCCAAGCGGAGGCGGGGTGGCCAGTGTCCTTCCTTCCCGCCCCGCGCCCTCGGCGGCTTCCCCGCGGCCCCCTGCACCGCGCCTCCTCCAGGAGGCGTCCTGACCCCGCACTCCGGACTTTCACCTCCCGACCGCCCGCCTCAGCGCCGCCGCGGCAACGCGCGACCCCTTCACTTTTGAGGGGCGCGAACTCCGGATGCGCCGGGCTCTGCCAGGCACCTAGGCGAGGGTCGGACGCCGGCGACCGGCTCGAGCCCAGCCGCCCCGGCGTCCAGGGAGCTGGCCCGAGTGTCGCCGCGACCCCCCCCATCCCTCGCGCTCGCGCTTCCCGGCCGCCGAGCGGCCGCCTCAGCCCCCTTATATAGCCCTCTAAAAATAGCTCGCCTCGCACCGCCTTGTAAGGCAGCAGGGAGATCCGTAGCGCGCCAATCCGCGCCCGCCGTCAGGGCCAAGCCCCGCCCCGGGCCCCGCTCCGGGCTCCCCATTGGTCCTCAGTGACTTCATGAGCCCCCTGTTTACCTTACATGGTCACACGCGGCCTAATGGACGCCCTCCTCCGAGATCCCACGGCTGCGCGGAGAACCGGGCGGAGGGAGGGAGTTTGGGGAGGGGGAAGAGCAGGAGGAGGAGAAAAGGGAGGGGGAGATTACAAACTAGCAAGGATGGGGTGGGGGGTGGGGAGGGGAAGGGAAGGGGGGGAGAGAAGCGATCGCGAGAGAAAAAAATGCAACCTCCCAAAATAAAGAGCAAAGATTGCATTAGGAGCGAACAGCGCTGCAGAAATAGATGGCAGCTTCGTGTCAGTGAGTTTGCATCCCCCTTCCTGATCCACGAGCTGGAGTGATTAGAGCCCTGGAAGGGAATTGTTACTCCCGTGGAGAAGTCCCCTTTTCCTGGCAGTCGTCTGCACTGTACACGCTGGATGCCTCTCTCCATCCACCCCACTCGCTCCTCTCTCACCTCCTCTCTCCCTCTCCTGCATTGATTTTTTTTTTTTTTTTCCTTTTTAGTTGACTGAAACAAAACAAAACAAAAGGGCCACTGGATGTCTGCCTTCTTGGGGGGTGAGCCAGACAGACTGACAAACAAACAGCCCCAACTGTGTTCGGGGGAGGGTTTCGCCTCCCGTTTTGCCCGGCAGCAGCAGCATGGACGTGTTGGCTAGTTATAGTATATTCCAGGAGCTACAACTTGTCCACGATACCGGCTACTTCTCAGCTTTGCCATCCCTGGAGGAGACCTGGCAGCAGGTGAATGATTTAAATTACTTGTGTAAATCGTGTGGTGGCGGCGGAGACGTAGGGGCTGCGTTGGTGTGGGCTCTGGGTTGAAATTTTTGTTTGTTTGTTTGATTTTTTTTTCTTCCTTTTTGGCTGTCTGTTGTTGAAAATGTTTTCTGAAACAGTCATCTGCGCTTACCTCTCCACCCACCCCTAACCTCGTAGTGTGCCGAGCTGAGCAGCCGGTCCGAGCTGCCTGCGTTTCAGTCGCCAAAACACATCCTTGCGCACACATTGTCGGGCTCGCTGTCCCCTATTAGAGACCTGCCGAACTTCTGGGGTTCGGGGGAGCGAGGTGGGAAGGTGGCTTGGGGTGTTAGGAGCGATCGCTGACAGGGACCACGTTCCCGCATGCATGAGCTCTTCCCACTCGGTACCTGAAATCAGGTTCATCTGTTTCAACTGGTGCTTACGACTGTCGGATGGGGGGTGGGCAGGAGCAAAGCGGAATGTTTTCTCAGTAATTAGCAAGTGTCAATAAAGAATAGGATCTTGATTTTGAGATTAGCCGGTAGGCAAAAGAGAGAAGAGCCCAGTGACAAAAGATACTCAGGGAGGACGGGAAGATGTAGCTGTCTGAGGCTGACAATGCATTGTAGGTTTTCCCAGTGTGATGCCTCCAGAAAGAGAACACCCTCTATGTTTGTCCTTGTTTCTCTTTTTTTTTTTGTTTGGGGTCCTCTAGTTAGGCAGCACAGCCTCGGACAAAGGCTGGTGCATGCTTCCATGCATCTGACTTTGTCTTACAGGACTAGTTAACAAACTCTTAGGATGCTGAAGGGCACCGATGCCAAGTTGGCTAGCTGTCCCAGGGAGGATGAAGCGGGGGCTGGTGACAAGTTCACTGGGCTTTGTGAAGTGGAATAAAGAAAGTGCTGGTCAGTGGAAACTGCTGGCTCTGCTGCGGAAACAGTGGTTTTTTTCAGCAGCGATTAGGAGCTGCTGAGGGGACATTCTGCAGGAAAGATGGTGGGTGGGGGTGGGGGGACACGGGTATTTAAAAATTCTACAGTGTGCACCATGGAAAGTCCAAGAAGACAGTCCGGATTTGCACATAGGATGTGTGAACTTGTACAGTCCGTCCTGGAGACACCCGCTTGCCCTTGGGGGGAGGGCTGTGAGAGGCTTGGCGTGTGGCTGCTCGTGTAACTTCTAGGCTTAGTGACAGCAGCTTGTTAAGGCTAATGAACGGCTGAATTTCCTCTGCCGGGATCCAAAGCAGGATTCGCCAGCTTGAGGCTGAGATGTAACAGTCGCTGCTTTAGCAAAAGAGGCTTGGCTTTTGGTATAAGGAGCTGAATGGCAAAGCGGATCCTCTAACTGTGCCATTGTTACTGGTTGTTCTCTTCTTGTCAGAGGCTATGAGTTTTCCTCCAGGTATTGGCCTCTGGTGTCTCTGTGTCCACACATGCATTCCTGTCCAAGGACGCTGGCAGATGCTTGACTCTGTCTCTCTGTAAACAGTTCACATATTTTTAGCATAAAGTATTTTTTAAATGCATCCCTTTCCTTATCCTTAACGAGAGTATCTCATGAAGGGTCTCACGGGATCTTTTTCTTCCTTTTATTCCCAGTGCTAATTAAACCAAAATGTTGCCCGAATTTCATTTTCTGAAATAGCCTTCATTTCACACTGTCAGCCCACTGGTATGGAATCAGTTGCATATTAACAACTGTCTAGACAGGTTAGAGAAGGGAATCTGTTGATTTAGTCAGCCTGCCCAAGGCAACCCTTGTTTGTGACTAACCATGAAATAGTATTAGAAGGAAGAAAGTTGGCTTTATTTGTTAGAACGTTCCCTCCTGATGAATCATGCGACTTTGTTTTGGTTCAAGTTTTCAGAGTAGTAAAGCCAGATTTGGAGGAAGGTCTTGACACAGGAAACCTGCTTTTCTAGATATGGCTAGACCATCCAGGACTAGATCTGCAAAGAAACATCATTGGTTTGACAATTAGAGGATGTATTAGATCTATTGTTTCCTAAGAAGCCATCAGTGCTCTTACTTCTCCCCTCCTCCCCCTGCTCCTCTGCCTCCTCCCACTTCAGGGAATCTCTAGTTTAGTTTCTACAGGCAAAGGATTTTTCACCCTTCCGAACCCCCTCATTTCTTGCCTTAACCCTCTCCAACTGCCAGCCACTCTCACTTTAAAACCCTTAGCCAATTTATTCAGTGTCATGCTTATAGCCAGTGTTGATGCGTAACTTGCGGGGAGGCACTAATAAACAATATATCACTCCAGGGAGCTTTATGCTCTGGGCTCTGTAGTCACAACTGCTCTATATAAAGGTGGCTAGGACCATAGGTTCACACTGATGACAAAACCTTAACCTCTCTCCCTTCTTCTCCCTCCCCAAGCCCCCTTGCTGCTTCTGAGTATAAGGGTGGTGATGGTTATATGCAACTGTTAGCTCCAAATCAACTATCAGATGATGAAATTTTGAGACTCTTTTGCTCAAAGTAGCTCAACAAGGTTGCTATTAAGAACCCCAGACAGGAAGAAGTTTCCCTATGCACTGGGGTAATCAGATTTTAGAGGTCAAATGAGGAGTAATTATTAGATGTTCTTCTATAAGTGAACAGTACCTGGGCTTGTGGAGATGAGCGAAATGTGGAGATTCTGATAATCTGATTTGGTTTTTAGAGAAAGAGTGGCTTGGATGATAAACTCAAGAACATTTTTTACATTTGAAAATTGAAGGTAGACGATTTGGGGATTTTATTTTAAACTTACGATATGGGGTAATTGTCCTGCCTAACAGAGAGCTCGTGACAGGGCCACCTCCTGTCACGGAGATCCTCGTTTTGACATTGGATTTTCTGGCAGTGATGCCTTAGCCACATAGCTCCAACTCTGAAAATAATCGTTGCTGGTATAATTCTAAAATCCAAATGGACGTCCCACATTAACAGCTCTCCATTCCTGGGCTCTGACTGCATACTTAAGCACTTGGCCCGAGTAACATCATCTTTCTGCCTGTCATATAACTGTAAATTACACTGTGCTTATGTGGTCTATTATTTTATAGAATTCAGCTGACGCACAATTCTTAAGACTACCAGCCTTAAGCACTCTGAAAACTTGTAGGACATTTTCCAAGAGCTGTCTGAGCAAAAGTAGGTAAAGGTCAAGGGTGGGACAGAAACCAGAATTTCTTATGGGTTACCACTTGATTATGGGTAAAGGCAAACTCATTCATGACTGTTTTTGCCAATAGAAATCATGATTTTTTTTTTTAGACACACTGCTGACTTGGAAAATAAAAAGGATTTGATACAATAGTTTTATTTTCTTCTAGAATATACGAAGACTTTTAGAACTTTTACATATTTTATCTCTAGTCTGCTATTTCATGAGTGCAGGTCAAGCAACGATGATCTAAGTCTTGTTTGGACTTAGCTTTGCATTGTGTCATTGAGGGGCATCGCATGTTTGCTTGAAAAGTCTTATGGAATTATGTTTGTTTTTAATGCTGATTCATAATTGGCAGATGGGGTCAGTTTCAGGCCTCTCCTTGCTCGGAGAAAATTTTCCACTGCTACTGGAAACAAATAAATAAATCATAGAACATTCCTCCCTCCTCCCCTGTTCCCCTATTGTTTTAAACTAATGGCATACTTGGCTACTGTAAGGACTAAAGTGTCCCCATACACTGCAATTTCATCTTGGTTTCAGGCACCCTGAAACACTTTTTATGAGGGCCTTTGGTATAAGGAATCTCTAGGGGAAAACCTATAGAAATGGTTGCATTCCAAGAACAGCCTCATGGTACCAGGGATGGGATTTGGTCTGTGAACCACATTGCTTCTCCTTTTATGTGAAGATCTTGCCTTTTCACTTCCTTCTGCAGGCCTGGGCCGCCAGGTGCTGTCTCAGCCATGAAGACAAAGCAAAGTGTGGGGTCTGTCCATCCGCAGGTTTGCCTCTGTCCCCAATTTGAAGAAAACCTTGCCATGAATTAGAATTTCTTGGCAACAGCACCACCCAGGGAAATTTGTAGACACAAAGGAGCCTTGCTAGCCACACTGAAAGGATAAAATAACTGGCTTTTTTTTTTTTTTGTATGTGATTTGTGTGTTTTTCAGTTACTGTAAATCTGTTTCTTTATTTGAAACAGCAACTTGGTAGATGAAATAAAAATACATCTGCCCCTGTTATCCAGAATTTATCTTTATGAAGATGCAATCACTAAATAGATGTAGCTCTAAAAATGAAAGCACATGTGAATGCAATCAGTCATACACTTAGCCTTTCTTTAATAGATTCATTTCCATGTTCCTTTAATAGACACATCTTTGTGTAGATTTAGGGGCTCTCAAACATTATCATTCAGTCTACCTGTTTGCAGTTTGGTATTTTAAAGTGGGCAAACATTATAATGCAGTTATTTTTTTACTACATCTGTCCTTAGTAGGGGGAAAAGGAAGTCATTATTCTTTGTTCTCCATGAACTTCCCACCCCCACTCCTTCCCCTGAGGAGAATGGGATGTTGGGGTCCCATCCATTTAAAAGGCAGAGAGAAGATGCAGGATGACAGCCTTGCCCTGAAATGATTTATGTATGGGTATGTCAGAGACCTTAAGCATCCAAATGTGAGCTGTTTCTTTCTGCTAGCCCATTCTAAACATAAATGCCGGTGGGGGCTAATTTGCCTCTCCGCTTAAATGGAGATGGTTCAGAGAGGGTCCTAATGGGGCTTTTAATAGCCATTCTCTTATGAATCTTCACATTCTGCTCCCTTCAGAGAATTCTTGTGTTTTCACTTTTTGAGTACAAGAAGACATTACAATCTTCTTTAATCACTCTTTGTGCCTGTTGAGGAAAGAAGAATACAATTTCCTCTGGCCTGTCCCAGCTGGCTCAAGTTGATAGGATAGCTGCTCTGATTCTAGACGGGTTGGTGGATGCCCCTTATCTTTTCATTTTATCGTATCGTGCAATGAGCTTTTAATTACCTTTGCTGGACCC